TTAATCCCATTACCTTAAATAACCCTAAACCCTAAACCCTAAACCCTAAACCCTAAACCGACCATTGTATAGTCCTTATATACCCCTTATATAGCCAGGTAGTCTTCATATTAGCCCCAATAACCTACAAGGGCCCCAGGGTCCCTCCTAAAGCCTTTAAATGGTTTGTTTAGGGTTTAGGGTTTAGGGTTTAGGGTTTAGGGTTTATAGGGTTTAGGGTTTAGGGTTTAGGGTTTAGGGTTTAGGGTTTAGGGTTTAGGGTTTAGGGTTTCTGGTTGAGGCTGGCTTGCATTCGAGGGCTCGGAGCTTGGAATCCTCAACTTCCCCGGGGAGTCTGCGGCTGCGGGTGATTTATGTCAGCTTAAACGGCCCAGAGCCACGGTTTAGGGTTTAGGGTTTAGGGTTTAGGGTTTAGAGTTTAGGGTTTAGGGTAGGGTTTAGGGGTTTAGGGTTTAGGGTTGGAAACAAATACCAGATGATGAGTTTAAGGATGGCGGCAATGGCAACACTAACTAGGACAGCGATGATAAGGGACTACGCAGGAGAAGCACACACCACGGTGAAACCTAGAAAGCTGGATCGCGGATTAAGCATGACTTATGCTGAGATTCCCTTTTCTTCGCGTTAGGGGCATAAGGGTCATGATGTTCCAACTTTAAGATTTTCTAGCTTCTACTTAACAGCCGTCAGCACCCAAGCGAGGCGTCTATGGACGCGGAGATGCTGTTCTGCGCTGGGACGATCAGACGGACGAACCTTGGCCCTGGCAAGTGCAGGATATTTAGTTGTTGTTTTTGCGTTTTGATCTTTTTTGTAGAACAGGGGTTCGTTCTTCCCTAAACCCTAAACCCTAAACTCTAAACAACTAAACCCTCGGTTTTTGCCGTCGTTGTCCTTGTCGTCCTATCTCCCGCGAGCTGAACATCCAAAGAGCCCGAGGATGCCGACGAGCAGATGCCTGTGAAGGCCATCACGTCCATCGAGAAGGCGAGCATCGACTTTAAGCCTTGGGGGTCCAGAGGGGCCTAAACCGTAATATCGGGGCCTAAATAAGGGTTTAGGGTTCAGGGTTTAGGGTTAGGGTTTAGGGCACTACTTCCTGTACGGGCCTTAAGAATTACCAATACTATTTTTTGGGGGTTCCTTTATTAGAAGGATAGTAGAATCTACCCCAAGGCCAGATTCTAATTATTCAGGCCCCTATATTAAGCCATAAGCCCCCTAAACCCCCTGAACCGAAGTATAGGGTATAGGGGTTTCTGGTGATCCCAGCCATTGAACACAACCAAGCCTTCTAGCCCGCGAGTCGCATCAATGGATGTTTTCCGCCACTGCCTTTCGTAGCAGATATACTGGCAGGCTGAATGTAGAATATTGTGGTAGTTGTCCCTAAACCCTAAACCCTAAACCCTAAACCCTAAACCCTAGTAGTGGTAGGGATAGTTGCCGTCATCGTCGTGGGAGTAGAAGTAGGAGTAGGAGCCACGGGATGAAAGGTTCATCAGGAGTGGGACTAGCAGACTACCCAACGGGCCCCATAGTAGTTCCTTTTTAATTTTGGGGGTTCATATTTAGAATCCTATAAGGTAATCCCAAAAAGGAACTACAGCAGTTGGAGGCATGTGCATTCATCCGTCGCGCCGCAGATGCCTGTGCTCCATCCTTAGTGCGCCTGACACATCGAATTCTGCAGAGCTGGCAAGGTGAGCCTCATCACCATTGCAGGGACATCCTTCATGGGCACGTAACTTGGCAGCAGCTGCACAACTTTTGGGCTTGTGGCCTAAAGCCTCTACACCACAAGACCTGAGAGCTAACCCCTACGAAGCTGAAGCGTATCTCTCCTGTCCCGACGTCAAAGAGAACGCCCGAGATCCCGAATAAGGGCTCCACAGCACGCGAGGCCCCCTTTTAAGTTAGAAAAAGATACCTGAACGAGTTCTAAGATCATGCCTCCACACTGCCTGCAAGCACTTTATGTCTGGGCCAGCTGTTGACATAGAAATCTTCAGCATCCTGAACTCTAAACTCTAAACCCTGAACCTAATATAGGGGCCTCAGTAATTACCTATATTATTTGAGGGGTTCCTATAGTATAATGGGCCCCAAAACCCTATTCTTATTATTAAGGCCCCTATATCAAGCGTTCCGAAGTCCTACATGCATGAGCTGAGGCACGGTGTCGCCAAGCGCTTCATGGAGGCAACAAAGGGTTTGAGTTTGACTGCTCAGTTGTGCTTTTGGGACCCTTGCTGTTCGTGCTACTTCGTAGTTGTGCTAGCTCTTACTACGTGTGTTCTTGAGACATTTGCAGAAGTTGTAACATACAGGCAGCTGGCAGCATGTGCGGCAAGAAAGCTGAAACCCAACACGCATTCGCAACCCTGAACTGTGCCAAAGCCAGTGCTCAGACTGAAATCCTTCAAGCATTCAAACATGCATATGCAGTTGCATCACGTACTAGACCATGCGGGCCTATAGACTCCTGAACCTCAATAGCCAACGCCCCCCGCCAACACTGCGGGTATCACGGTGGTCTCTTTCCGTGTGGAGTCCCGGAGTGTCCCGACAGCCATGGCGGGTGGATCCAAAGCAGCCGACAACCGCGCCAGCCGCGTCGCGGGAGTAGTGGCATCAGACAAAGGCATGTGGGAAGGGCTCCTCACCGAGGTGGCCACGGCAGCCAAAGCTCCCGATGCAAAGCTTCTTTGCCTCGGGCGCCCGGGAATCGGCAAGCGTACGCTGCTGCAGGCGCTGCATCAGCATGCCTGTCCACTGGCAGTGCAGACAGAGGCTTCTGCTTCGCAGGAGGGTGGCCACAGCCGCGCTGTAGGTTTGGATTTCGCACACTTTGGCGCGCGGGATCCGGAATTAGAGGAAGCCAAGCAAGGACAAGACTTCAACTGCTCTGCAGCCTGCTCGGTCCTGATCTTGGAGGACGTGGTGCACGAACGCCTGCTGTTGTCGCGGTTGAAGCCCTCGGCACTGCAGCTCTGTGCAGCCATCATCTGCCTGGATCTGAAGACGCCATGGACTATGCTAGAGGACCTCAGGAGTTGGTTGGAAGTTCTCAAGCGCGTGGTCGGAGAGCTGATGCAGCAGCTTCCTTTGGAGGAGCAGGATCGTTTGAGGGAGCAGGTCTCAGATGAGTTGGCGGCCTATGCAGAGCCCTCCGGCAAGTCTGCGAACACCGAAGTGGCACAGGGTGAGGAGTCACAGGAGTCAGCGGCAAAAGACGGAGCAGGAGGTGTGGCATCGTTGACCTACAACTTTGGCATGCCGGTGATTGTGGTCGTGACCCGTGCCGACACTGCGAGCGCCTTGGAGTCTCCAAAGACCGCAGGTTGGAGTGAGATCATCGAGACGTTCCTCAGGAATGAGTGCTTACCATACGGCTCAGCCATCGTCTACACCGCGGTCGGGGGCGCCCAGTCAAAGAGTACACGCAATGTAGATGTTCTCTACGAATACCTCATGCATCGTCTCTATGGCCATGCTCTCAAGTCTGCGCCCAACGTTCCTTCTCGAGATTCGCTCTTCGTTCCTGGTGGTTGGGACAGCCGAGATCGAGTTGATAAAACGGCCTCCTCCCTGGAGCATGGCCTGGAGCGATCCTTTGAGTCGTCGGTAGTTTCCCTGGAGCCTGCTCCCCCTGCTCCGCCGCCGGCGGTGCAGTACGAGGACATGCAGAAGTTCCTGAAAAGCTCGGCTGCGGTGCTCCAGAAGTTGGGAGCGGTTTCTGCACGCAGTGATAAGGCAAAAGCAAGTCTGGCAGCCGCGACAGGAGCAGGTGCCAAGAAGGCCACAGAGATCACCGCAGCAGGCTCCGGCAAGCGTGCCTCCATCGATGCCTCAGCAAAAGGAGGGATCGGCAAGGAAGACAAAGCTTCGGTGGCGAACTTCTTCCAGAACCTCCTGACGCGCGGGCAGAGTGGTGCTGCCTTGGGTGCAGACAAGCGACCATCGTCTGCGAGTACTGCAGGGGGGACTGCTGCTGCCAAGGCTGCAGCTCCAGCCGCGGCTGGTGCTGCAGACGCTGGAGGAGCGGAGGAGGCCAAGTTAGCACCTCCGAGCCCAGGTGGTGAGTTCCCCGGCGTGACGTTGAAGGTGGACTCCGAGAAGCCTGAGGCTTCAGCTCCGACCCCAGAGACAGCAGATGCTGCAGCCCCTGCAAATGCATGAGCTCACATGTATCTTTCAGAGTTCTTTGCAGGCCTGTCTTCTGCTTGCAAGCACTACCTTGATGTGCTAATTACATTGATCATTGATTCGCTGCTCCGTTTCACCATCTTCCGAAGATACGAGCGCGGAGAGCCAAAAAGTTGATGTGGTGCCTACAGCCGCGACGTAAAGTCTAAAAAGTACGGATGTATAGAAGAACGGATAATTTTGCGAACTGACGTGGGGCCTCCGAACACTGGAGCCTCTTGTTCGAAGGATGTTGCCGGATGTTTTCGTTGCTGCCCTAAACCTCGCCTGACCTCGTCGAGAGCGAGTGCGGAAAACATACAGGCAGCGGCTGCACTACTGCAGTTGGCGCTTGTAAGTGTTGCTCTTAAGCACCCGTAGAGCCCGATACTCGTAAGTTACGAAGTAGTCCTTAACAGTTAGCCGAGGTGTGATCATGATTCCGGGGATGCTCTGCTTCTTGGGTAAATGTCGCTGACGTACACCCCAAGCCGAACAGCGAAGCTCCGGGTTCAGCACATTTAAGCACTAAAGCCCAAGCCCTACAGACCGTAATCGAAGTCTAATCCGTAAAGCCGACATCCTAAGCCCTAAACCCTACACCCTAAGCCGCAGAAGCAGCAAGCAGCGAGGCCTTGTCGAGCGTCGGCGTCAACGTGATTTTGACTTCGCAAGGATCGTCCGAGCATTCGATCACAGCGATTGGCCTTCAACTCTCAGGGTTTGCTTGGAGTTTAAGGTTTAGTGTTCAGGGAAGCCTGCTGCTACAGGTTTTCAGGGTTTAGGGTGAAGCTTGTGGAGGGTTTAACCTAAACCCTAAACCCTAAACGGCTTAAGCTTGGGGGTTTGGGGTTTTGGGTTTCGGCTTACAGGTCGGTACGAGTTTTGAGTTCTGAAAACGAGGGGTGCCTTAGGTGTGGGAAATAGGTTCCTTCTACGGCTGATGATATAAATCCTGCATTACCCATAATAAGGAATTTGCCATAATTCCCGTAGTTTAGGGTCCTTCAGGTAATGCAGGATTCGTATCATCAACAGTAGAAAGCGCCCTACTACGTAGTCTGTACATGAGCGCCCCGCATGAAACTCCCTCTTAAGTCTCAGAACTACGAATTAGGGCAGAGGGCGAGGCGTTTGAAAGAGCGGGTGAGCGGGCCCAAACTCGGAAACAACACGGAAGAGAGCAGAGACAATGGAACAATGCCCAGATTTCTGCGTTGGGGACTAGGACCTAAGAGGCTTTGGTGATTGCTTTTGGAGTCGTGAATATGGAGGATTTACCGTCAGGTTTTCTTGGCTTGGGACGCAAAGTTGCCCTGGCTTTGTGAACGTCTTCCAGCACATGCAGATCATGCAGGTAAAGCTACATTAGGAAGATTGTACGAATGGAGGTTACCCAGAGACTCCAATATCCCTTAATTAAGGAATATTCCTTAAATTATAGTAGGATCCTTAATATGATTTAAGGTATATTCCTTAATTAAGGGATATTGGAGTCTCTGGGTAATAACTTGAGAAGATAGCGACAGACGGAGCAGTGCTGAAAGCAGATGAGGACTCAGAGCTTCGGACATGGAGGTTAGCAGGTGGTTTAAAGTGCCAGAAGCCGGATTGCCCTGGCACTGCTTGCTTTTTAATGCTTCTTAAAATCCTTGTATCGGCCCGGAACTGTTCCAGACATAGTTTCTGTGACGAAAAGTCAGTACGCCATTTGAGACTTTGACAATATCGAATCCCACGCTTGAAATCGAATGCAGGATCCCAGTGCTAAGGACCTTTAAAGCAGGGACCCCCCCGCCCCAAGTTTGCAAGGAAGTCCCTAGATGAAGCTGAAGATGGCCCAGGTCGCGGTGGCAGACACCGACGGCAAGATGGCGATGCAAGCGGTTGAGTCGGCGTTCCCTTGGTTGTATCATAGCCGTCGGAATGACTACCCAGAGACTCCAATATCCCTTAATTAAGGAATATACCTTAAATCATATTAAGGATCCTACTATACTTTAAGGAATATTCCTTAATTAAGGGATATTGGAGTCTCTGGGTAGTATCATTATGCTTCAGGGCTCCTACTACGAAGACTTTTAGTAGAATGTCGTAGACGATACCCCAGACCTTATTCTTGTTAGGCAGGCCCCCTGTATTCATTTCTTTATTGATTCCGTTTTCCCAATGATTATTACTGTAGAACCCCAGTTGACAAGCCCCCGTTCTTTCAGAACGATGATCTGAAGATTCCTTTTATTCTAAGGCTTGATCCGGCAGGCGGGTTCCGTAAACAGGGGTCTAGATTACAGATTGCAGATGCGTTCTCCATGAAGGCTGCTTCAGTCTGGGTGCCTCCCTCGGCCTTGCCCATGCCAACTTCAAAAAGGTCCCCGAAGCAATAGTTATAGAAGAACAAGAAGACATGTGGGAATGAGTTCTCATCACTGTAGCAGCTGTAGCATCGATGTGGAAAGATATGCAAGCATAGCATAGGACTACCAAGAACGAGGGTAGCGGGTAGCGCCAGTAAGACTTCCCGAAGTCAATCGCGAGTTCCTGCCATAGCAGTGGCACGAATCATGACCCCAGTATCTTAAACCCGAAAACGAAACCTACACCCCGACCTGAAGCCAAAATAATCCTGAACCCTACGCCCAAAGTAGGAGCTGAGGTGTTTTGCGAGTTTGAAGGATTTGGGGAGACCCGTCATCCTGACAGGAGTAGATACTCCTGCTACCTAGGGCTACGAATCAAGTGGAATCGCACGAGAGCGTACGTGCACAGCCTTAGTGCCTAGCTTTTAGCGTTGCGGTTTAGTTTGGTCAAGGGTTTACGATTTAGGGATGTTGCGGGTCCGTCGAAATGCGCTTGCGAGTTCATGTGGGTACCTGGGTCTTGAAGTAGGCTGAGCTTCCCGAGACCCGCAGAGACACCTTCGGCCGAATGGGCTAGGCGCCACAAACCCTGAAATTCGACAAGTCGAAACCCTCGACCTGGAACAGTAGACTTGTCAACGGAAAATCTTTTCCCCGACACCCCAGCCTTTGCCTCCTAAACCCTAAACCCAAACCCCTAAACCCTAAACCCTCAAGATTGTCTCCGAGGTTCCAGCTTGAGATTGCAAGAAATGCGGAAACGCGAGTCACGAAATTGGAAGGTCAGTCCGCCGAAGATTTTATTCCAAGGTTTTTTTGGAATTCCCCAAACCCCAAACCCTAAACCCTAGGAATTCCCTAAACCCTAAACCCTAAACCCTATAGAATTTAGTGTTTAGGGGTTAGGGGCTCCCTACACCCCGCAAGCACAGGGACCCTGAATTCTAAACAGGGTTTAGGAGGTGGACTGGGTTGACTTATGCCTGGGGTGTCAGGGAGTTTTTGGGTGAAGGGTTTCGGGGTTTTCGGGCGTTCAGGGATTCCGAGTTTCAGGGTTCAGGGGTCTAGGGTACGGCCAGATTACGCTGTGGGGCTTCAGGGCTCGGGGACGTTATTGTCCGACAAGTTGCAGTGTCCAGCAATAAGGAGCTTCTGCTGGCCCTACAACAACAACGGCATCAACAACAGCAACAGCCACAACAACAAACAAACAAACAAACAAGCTAGCTAGTTAGCTACCCAACTAACTAACTAACTAACTAACTAACTAACTAACTAACTAAGTAAGTAACTAACTAACTAACTAACTAACTAACTAACTAACTAACTAACTAACTAACTAACTAACTAACTAACTAACTAACTAACTAACTAACTAACTAACTAACTAACTAACTTAACTAACTAA